ACCATATGACCTGGAGCTGGGCGGCCATGAGTCGCTGGCGATGGCGTAGGCTGCAGCCCCTGTGGCAGTGGGTTGCCATGGGCTACCGTGTGTGGCCGCCAGCCAGTGTGAGCTGCCAAGAGCCCCAACATGGGCCAGTGAAGCAACATCCTCCACAACTAGACTGAAGAACAAAAGGACAGCAACTTGTCTGTTCCCCTTCCCCGATTCCCCGGCGCTGTTCCCCTCCCCCAATTCCCCAATAAAAATCTTTTAAAGCAACAAAAACAAAACCAAATATGTTTTGGGCCGGCCGAGTGGCTCAGTTGGTTAAGTGTTCGCTCAAGAGTGCGAACTCTGAGCTACAGCGGTTCGATGCCCGGCCCGAGCTGAACTGCCGCTGAGCTGCCAACAGATGGCAGGATGGCTTAGCTAAAAAGAAAAAAAAGAAGAACTACATCAAATCTCTGGGCTTCCGGTCCAAAGCTCTCTCTCCCCCACATGTGGTACCCTTAGACTGACATTGTTTTCTCACTTTAAATCACTAGGCTTTTGAAATTCACATGCAAAGTATTGGTACCACTGAGGACAATGAAAGAGAAATCATGTGTGTCTCAAGACCACTGCGGCTCTACTTTCCAGGGGGTCCAGATAGCCTGAACATTTATCCTGAAGGGCAGAACTGACTATGAGACACTGTAAAGTGTGCTTTAAAATGTACCCATATTACAGATCGTCCAGATGATCTGTAACAAAGCACTCCCTCCCAATTCCAGGGCCCATGTTTTTAACCGTCGCTTTAGAATCACCCACTCACTACTTATTGTCCAGGACCAGAAATAGAGAACAGACTCTGGCTTACCATTCACTTGTCTGAAACGCAAATGAAGTAAGGCATTTTATAGAACAAATGCACAGCACATAAAATATCAAAACATACTTGTCAGATAAGTGAATGATTGAAGAGAGCAGTCATGAAAGAACTGGGTCTCCACAGAGCACACAGTTACAGATGTATACCCAGACTCAAAAGATCCTATATCATATTCTTGCAGTAAGTTGCAAGTGTGTCACATTGAATTATATTGATCAATATTTTCTTGCTTTTGTACTTTTATTTTAACTCATATTAGGGTTTTAAGGCTGCATATGCACTATAAGCATCAAGAGCTTAAATGCTTTTGTTTGTTTATTTAAGTGCATGAAAAAATTTGTCATCACTAGGGGTCCAAGGTCTATATTCAAGTTTGAGAACACTGTCTGTCATATACTGCTGGCAAACAATATCACTTCTATGTTGCGCTTTCCACTCTACGCCATCCTCCTTATCACCAACCCCAACCAAGTGCTGGAAGCAAGCGCCTGTTGAGACTTACCTGCAGGGCAATTTCTTTCTTCTTGCTGCCCATGGCTCTGCAAAGAAGACAGAAACCTGTTACTGCTGGCTGAAACCTGTCCCGGCCACAGCCTCCTGAGGAATAGCTGCGTGGATCAGCAAGCCTCCTTTAGACAAAGCCCCCCACCCTGCCCCTTTAAAATATAAGTGGCAGCAAATAAATGCATGGATGCAAAAGGAACATCCCACAGGGCAAGCGGAGCCTGCAGCCCCGCGAGCTCGTGGCTTGCGGGAGGGTTTTCTGCGAATTTGTGAAACCCCTTCTTAGTCGCGGAGCCTGCGGAGGGGCGCACACAGAGGCCGGGGGTCGGGGGGACGCCGGACGATGGCATCCGAGCGCCAGCCTATAAATTCGAGCGAAAAAAGGCCACAGAACACGGTTATTCCTACTGTTAAATGTATTCCTAGGAAATTGAACCACCGCGAACGATCCCTCCACAGATACTCGGTCTTAAACGTGCAGCGAGTTTCCAACCCAGCCTGTGGCGACCCAGACATGGTCGTCATGGCAACACAGCCGGATGCCAAGTCAGTCAGGTAATAAACAAATAAGTCACGCCCACTCTGGGCCCCAAAGAAGGCCAGGAGGGAGTCCCGCCCTGAGTCGTCAGAATTGCACTGAAGGAATGCTCTCATTGGCTGAAGTGTTTGTCAGTATCTGAGGGGCATGGACCCCCCCCCCAAGCAGAGACCTTGTGCGTTTAGGTGTTACACAGTTACACCCTTGAATCCCTGCCTCCGTCCTGCCCCACCAAGACTGGTGTGCAGCTTTTATACCATCATTTAGTGCATGCCAGGCAGGGTGGCTCCAGTTTTTGAGGAATAGGGAGGAGTTCCCTTTAAGACACAGAATACAAAATTGCAAATTCAAAAGTAGGTATGAAAGTCAAGTAGAATAAATAGAAAACAGTTACAAACATGGTGTGACTGTTTACACCAATTCAAAGACAGAGTGTCAATGGATAAAAAAACAAGACCCAACTAAGTGTTGTCTGCAAGAAATCCACTTTATAAGAACACAAATAAGGGATGGAGAAAGCTATGCCATGCTAACACTGATCAAAAGAAAGCTGGAATCGCTATATTAATTCAGGCAAAGCAGATTTCAGAACAAGAAAATGTATCAGGGATGAGGAGAAGGCATTACGTAATGTTAAAGGGGTCAAATTCTCCAGAAGACATAACAATACTTAATGTGTATGCACTTAACAGAACATCAAAACGCATGAGGCAAAAACTGATAGAACTGCAAGGAAAAATAGACAGACCAACTATTATAACTGAAGACTTCACACCACTTTTTTAGTAATGAATAGATCCAACAGGCAGACAATGAGCAGGGATATAGTTGAACTGAACAACAACATCAACAAACTTGATCTAATTGACATTTAAGCAATATGTCATCCAACAACAGCAGGATACAGATTCTCCTCACGTTCACATGGAACATTCACCAAGATAGACAATATTCTAGATCATAAAACACACCTTAACAAAATTTAAAAGTATAGATATCATACAGAGTATGCTTCAGACCACAATAGAATTAAACTAGAAATCAATAACAGCTGATGAAAGAAATAAAAAAAGATTTAAATAAATGGAGAGATAGTCCATGTTTGTGGATAGGGAGAATCAATATTGTTAAGATGTCAATTCTTCCCAGTGTGACCTATAGATTAAATACAATTTCAGTCAAAATTCCAGCAAGCTATTTTGTGGAAATCAGTGAACTCATTCTAGAATTGATATGAAAAGGTAAGAGACCTAGAATAGGCAACATGATACTGAAAAAGAATAACAGAATTGGAAAACTTGCACTACCGGATTTCAAGACTTACTCTAAAGTTACAAAAAGCAAGGCAGTGTGATATTAGTGAAAAGAATAGATACGTAGATCAATGGGACAGAATAGAGAGTCCAGAAATAGAGCTATACAAATGTAGTTAACTCATCTTTGACAAAGGGGCAAAGGAAAGTTAATGGAGAAAGAACAGTCTTTTCAAAAAATGGTGTGGAATAATTAGACATCCATTTGCAAAAAAAAATGAATCTGGACACAGACCTTACACCTTTCATGAAAATTAACTCAAAATGGATCACAGACATAAATGAAAAATGCAAAACTATAAAACTTCTAGAAGAAAACAGGAAATCAAGGTGATCTTGGGCTTGGCAATGACTTTTTTAGATACAACACCAAAACCATGACCCACAAAAAGAAAAAAATTTAAGTTATACTTTATTAAAAACTTGTGCTCTGCAGAAGACTTAAAGGAATGAAAAGGCAAGCCATAGACTGGGGGAAAATATCTGCAAAACACATACCTGATAAAGAACTTTTATCCAAAATGTGCAAAACTCAACAATAAGAAAGCAATCCAATTTAAAAATGGGCAAAATATCTTCACCAAAGAAGATATACAGATGGAAAGTAAGCAAATAAACCTCAATTTGTCATCAGGGAATTACAAATTAAAACAATAAGGAGATATTCTACCCACCTATTAGAACGGTTAATATCCAAAAAACTGACAATGTTAAACGCTGGTAAAGATACAGAACAGCCGGTACTCTCATTCATTGCTGGTGGGAATGCAAAGTGGTTCAGCCACTTTGGGAGACAGTTTGGCAGTTTCTTACAAAGCTGAACATCGTATTACCATACGATCCAGCTAGTGCTCCTATCTATATATATATATATAGGATTTGAAAACCTATGTGTACACAAAAACCAGCACATAAATGTTAATAGCAGCTTTATTCATAATCACCCCAAATTGGATGCAGTCAAGATGTCCGTCCGTAGGTGAATGAATAATCAAACTGTGGCACATCCAGACGATGGTATCTGTAAGACACAGCATTGCAAAGCAGGTCCACTACATGCATGTTGCCACAGTATAGTGGTTACTTAAGCTCTTGAATGGTTTGAAATCTCCCTTAGAGCTTAGTTCCCAAAATAAAATTCAAACCAGACACTAAATTCCTCTTGCCAGCACACTGAAAGAAACTTTTTATTCTTTTTGGAAGGGTTAGATTTCTCAGCACGTGGTTTCTACTAGAAAAAGTAGTCACATCTTTGCCAGGCTAAACCACAGAAATAAACTTAAGGGAACTACGTTTCCCCAATTGGCCTGGGGCACCCCAATTTTACACGGGTTGTCCCATGCAATTATTAATAGTAATCCTTTTTACTTTAAAAAATGTACAGTTTGGACAATATGGAGCCTCTTCAATTTTTCCCCAAATGGATCACCTTGGGTCACCCCAGCTTTGTACATCTTGATTTAATGAAATTCCTGCCTTTTATATATTTTATGATATGGGTCAGTTATTTGATTTCTTTGCCCAAAAGTCATATGTCTTTTTAAAAGACATCTGTTTTAATTAGACCTGCCCTAAGGGAGGTCTTTTGTTTGTTTGTTTTGCTTTGTTTCATGCAAAAACTTCGAACTTTAAGGGTCACTACTGTGTTTTGGAGTCTGAAAGATTGAAAAAAAACAAACAAAAAATTCTTTATTCTGTCTCCTGCAAGTCACGTTCATTGCCACAAGGTGGTGACTTACTCAAGGAAAACCCTTGGGTGATCCAAATTGGACACCAGGAACGTTTTCTTGATTAAAACACTTCAAAACTGTGATGTGACTGTACAACAAGAATGAGCCTCCTCGGTTTAAGAGCAAAACCAACACCATCCATGTATTTGCCCAGATAACTTTCAGTTTTTCGTCTTAGACGATAAGACTGTATATCTACATCTTTTTCTAGGCTGATACCTCTCTGCTTCCACATATTATGTTTTCTTTTTCCATGAGTTAACAGCATGTTCCTACTGTGAGAGAGGCAGCTGAGAGTAGCAGAGCTGGGAGCTTTAGAGTCAAACGGACTTGGGTTGGATGCTCTACCTACCATCTCCTATCTCTGTGAGCTTGGGTAAGTTGCTAAATCTTCCTCGGCCTCAGTTTCCTTTCCTCGTCTTTAAAATGGGGCTACAATACCTGCCTTTCAGAAATGTTGTGGAGAGAGATAATGTCTTCTAAACTGTCTTGACAGTAAAGCTATTGTTGTTGTTGTTGCTAAGGCATCATGCTGTCTTTCCAGAGTGTAGGGTAACTGCTGGGAGGCAGCTTCCCAGCCAAGGGTCTTAGTGGCCACCGCTTCCCTTACAGCCAGATGGAGCCATTTGACTAGTTTTCCTCAGTGAGGGTGGCAACGATAAGTTTTACTTCTGGGCCCAAGTGGTAAAGTATCAGATGTGGAATCCTGCACATTCTGGCCCCATCTGCCAGCTTGATGTTACCAAGAAGGCTTTCATGACCAGAAGTTTTAAATTTTTGATAAAATTTAATGGATTTTAAAAATTCTATGTTTATTGTTTTCTCTGCCTTAAGAAATCTTTTCCTAAAGAATTTTTGCCTACCCCTGGTCTTGAAGATATTCCCCTTATTTTCTTCCAGGAGTTATAAAAAAGTTATAATACTAGGAATTAATTAAAAATGATAATGAAAGGAATTATTTAAAATTTACATTTAAGCTTATAATCCATCTCAAATGCATTCTTTAATTGAAATTTTTATTGAGATCGTTGTAGATTAATACAGTTGTAAGAATAACACAGAGAAATTATTTGTATACTGTGCTCAGTTTCCCCAATAATAAAATTTTGCCAAACCATACTATAATGTCACAATCAGTATATTGACCTTGATACAATTTACCCATCTTAGTCAGATTTCCCCAGTTTTAGGTGTGTGTGTGGGGGTGGGTGGGTGAGTGTGTGTGTGGTAGGTTTGTGTATCCACCACCACAGTCAAGATCCTAACCATGAGGATCTTTGTGGTGCCCCCACCCCAATCCCTAACTTATGGTAACTACCATTCTGTCCTTCATTTATAAAATTTTGTCATTTAAGAATGATATATAAATCATATCATACCATATGTCACCTTTTGGTCATCCTTTTTTTGTTTTTCAGAATTACTTCAACTATTCTAAGTATTTTGCTTTTCCTATAAATTTCAGAATTAACCTGTTAGTATTGCTTTTAATCCTGTTGGAAATTTGATTAGGATTGCATTGAATCGAAAGATTGACTTGGGGAGAGTTAACATAATAATATTGAGTGTTCCAATTCATGAATATGGCATATCTTTCCATTTATTTACTCTTTCAGCAATGTTTTATAATTGTTGCAAGGCATTTGTATTTCATTTATTAATGCTATTATTAATGAAACCGCTGTTATGTTTTTCCTTCTTTTCCAATTATGTGCCGATTTTTGTATGTTGACTTTGTATTCTGAGACCTTGCTGAACTCACCTATTAGCTCTAGCCATTTTTTGTTGATTGTGATTGCAAACATAAACTAGTGAGCCCCAAACCGGAAGCAGCCTGTCTCTCTGAGCCTACCAACACAACCGGGTTGTGTTGCATTTTCTTCATGTTTTAGAAGCCTTTGGGGCTTCCCATCAAACTGCTGATCTGTATTGCAAGTCCCTGTAGGACAAGTT